ACGTGGAGCACGCCGAGGCCGGCGCCGTGGGCGCCGCTATCGCGTCATACCTCGAGACGTGCTTCTTCAAGGGCTTGCAGCCGCCCACTGGGGCGAAGGCGCTGACGGGCTGGATCCACCTCCACCCGGCCTACGGACGCAGGGGCTTTCTGAAGCTGCCCCTCACCTGAAGGGCGCTGCAGGGCTAGCAGAAGCTGTGCCCAGGCCGCTCCCGCAGGCCGGAGGGGCTGGGCGTGTGGAACGGGCTCGCGAACGCCAGGTGCCATCTCAGCCGCCCTCGGATGACTGTGTTCGTGGTCATGGCCGTTTCGATGATCGGAGCGCCCGACCTCGTGCCTTACCAGACGCGGCAAAGCGGGCCGAGCGTGGACAGAGCGCGAGGCTCACGCTCCCTTCTTAGAGGTGCAGAACCGGGGCCAGTGGAAGTCGAACAAGAGTGTAGCTCGTTACGAGAAGCACGTCAGGCTGTCCGACTCGTTTCACCGCCACTCGACCGCGCTTCAGGCGTGCTTTCGAGAGTGCGAGCTTCGCGGCGCGGAGATCGTCCGCCGCGCGCGGCTCGTGCCTCTCCCACGTTCGGAGCGCAGCTGCTGCAGGACACTTGCGTTGCAGACACCTTCGCCAGCCAGGGCGGAGTCGCCAGAGCCTTGCGACGGCTCGGGTTCCAGGCACGGACCTAGGAGATCGCGCATGGAGAGCGCGGCGACCTCACCTCCGCCCGCGTTTTAAGGGCGCTCCTCTCAGACGTTCGACGAGGTCGGTGTCTCGGGGCGATGATTGCGCCGCCATGCAGCAGTTTTAGTATTGCACGCATTCGCGCAGCACCCATCCGATCCGCGTCTCGGCCGTGGGGGTTTTCAAGGAAGGAGGTCAGTTTAAAGGGCTGGATGAAACTCAAGGAGGGTAATAAGTGTTGTAGAGCTTCTCTTGCTATAATTCGCGAGTGTAACGCCGCGGGTGCCCCGTGGATCCTCGAGAACCCTTGCGCTAGCTGTGTGTTCAAAACCCGTGAGTTCCAGCGCCTGGCCTCCTCCCCCTCGGTGACGCCTTTGAGGATAGATTTTTGTCAGTTCGGCACTCCCTGGAAAAAGCCCACCACTTTGTTGTGCGGAAGCATTCCCGCCCAGGATCTCGAGGGACTTTCGCGGCAGTGCCGGGGCACCAGGGGCGTTTGTAGCCGAACGGGACGCAGGCGCGTTATTCTTTCCGGCCCGGCTCCGAGTGGCCAACGGTGGACGCAGATTGCTCAGTCGTATCCACGGCAGCTCAATCGTGCCCTTGCCCGTGCTCTTGTGGCCCCTCTGCGAGCCAGGTTCTTTCAAGCCTGAGTCACATCCACTGCTGTTTCGGGATGGTTTGGGACATCCTTCGAGCGGAGGCTTTGCTGTGCGTCACAAATTTTCTGCTTGGCCTCTCGCTCGTAGTCTCATCGCGATGACTAAGCTTTGTTCTCGAAGACAGATTTCCGCAGGCGCCTCGCCAGGAAAATAGAACAGGGTCCTCAGGGCTCTGTGGGTTGTTTCTCGCCAGGCTCGCAGCCCCATAGGACTGCGTGCACAGGCATGGGGAGAGAGAGAGAGAGAGAGAGAGAGAGAGAGAGAGAGAGAGAGCAGTTTGTCGCCGTTCAGTTTTGCTCTTTGCTCCGCTCTGCAGTCTTTTTGGCTCCCACCCGCGGCCACCCCTTTTCAATGTCTTATGTAGCAAGGACATCCTTCGAGCGGAGGCTTCGCTGTGCGTCACACATTTTCTGCTTGGCCTCTCGCTCGTAGTCTCATCGCGATGACTAAGCTTTGTTCTCGAAGACAGATTTCCGCAGGCGCCTCGCCAGGAAAATAGAACAGGGTCCTCAGGGCTCTGTGGGTTGTTTCTCGCCAGGCTCGCAGCCCCATAGGACTGCGTGCACAGGCATGGGGAGAGAGAGAGAGAGAGAGAGAGAGAGAGAGAGAGAGAGAGAGCAGTTTGTCGCCGTTCAGTTTTGCTCTTTGCTCCGCTCTGCAGTCTTTTTGGCTCCCACCCGCGGCCACCCCTTTTCAATGTCTTATGTAGCAAGGACATCCTTCGAGCGGAGGCTTCGCTGTGCGTCACACATTTTCTGCTTGGCCTCTCGCTCGTAGTCTCATCGCGATGACTAAGCTTTGTTCTCGAAGACAGATTTCCGCAGGCGCCTCGCCAGGAAAATAGAACAGGGTCCTCAGGGCTCTGTGGGTTGTTTCTCGCCAGGCTCGCAGCCCCATGAGGATGAGGATGAGGATGAGGATGAGGATGAGGATGAGGATGAGGATGAGGATGAGGGGAGGAGGAGGAGACAGAGCATTATCAGGTGGAGCAAGACGAGGAGGAGGAATCTGAATCGGAGAGGGAAAAAGAACAGAACACACACAAACACGAGGAGGATTGAGAAGGGAGGGATGAGGAGGAGGAGGAGGAGGAGGAGCAGGAGGAGAAGGAGGAAAAGGAAGAGGAGAGGAACAGGGGGGAAAGGAAGGGGAGAGGGAAGAGAAGAAAGAGGAATAGGAGGAGGCATGGGCGGAAGCGCGGCGAGAGCGCGAGGGCCGAGTAATAGTATTGACACATTGATGAGTTGACGCCAAGCTTCAAGGTTAGAGCCACGAGGGTTGGAAGGAGGCTCTGAAGGAAACCCAACTCGACAAGGACAACGATGAGTCTTGCAGGGAATATTATGGGAGTGAGAGTCAGAGAAGGCTTTGAGGGAAGAGGGAACTTGAAAAGAGGGAGCCTTTGAACTAGGGGGAGGTTTGGGGAGAAGTGGCTTGAATTCCAAACGATACGCGTAAAACCACCAACCCATGCAGAAACGATGCCCAAAGGAGTAGCCTCGATCAGGAAAGTGGGCAGCACACAGAGGAAGGGCACCCCAGTGGAGGCCTCTTGGAGCGTTTTTAGGGCATCTTGGCGGGCCCAGGGTCGTTTTTGAGCGTCTTGGGTGCCTCGGGGATATTCTTGAGGTTTCTTGGGGGTCTCTTCGTCGCCTCTTGCAGGCATCTTGGGCGCCTCTTGGGGCCGTCTGGGCGCCTTTTGGGGCTCTTTTGGGGCTTGGGAGCTTTAGGGGCGCTCCTTGGCCATCTTGGAGGACATCGATCTTGATCTGCGAGGAAGTTCGGATCAAGTGCAGATCGTCCTCGCCACTTCTCCTCCTCCTCCTCCTCCTCCTCCTCCTCCTTTTCCTTGTCCTCCTCATCCTCCTCCTTCTCCTCTTCCTCCTCCTCCTATTTTATCCCCCCATCACCTCCTCCTCCTTCTCCTCCTCCTCCTCCTCCTCCTCAGTTTTAGTCGCCCCGACGTTGCGCAGCGAGCGTAATTTTAAAAACTCCTCCTTCTCCTCCTCCTCTGCCTCCTCCTTCTCCTCTTCCTTCTCCTCTTCTTCTTCCTCTTCCTCCTCCTCATCATTCGTCTCCCCGTCACATTCGATGCGCCGCCCAGTGCGGCGGACCCCTCACCAGTATGGGGCTCCACCGTAGGGGGCTCCACGGTAGCGGACCCCCCATTCGTGCACCGTAGGGGGCTCCACTTACGGCCCTACCCCCATTCCCGCACGCCCCTTCAGAGGGATCGCGCACCCAGCCGTTCCCGAACGCAAGATTCTTGTCCACGCGCTGCGAGACAAGACGTCCCATGATTGGTTTGGCTGGTTCGCGGGTCAGTGTTTCATATGCGTCCCCATTGGGGGCCAGATTTGGTTACGGTTTGGTTGCGACGTTCGCCGCGCACCGCGAACGTCGCAACCAAATCGTAACCAAATCATAACCAAATCGTGACCATCTTGGATCGTAACCCAATCGTAATCATATTTGATGTGCCGTAACCAATCCGTAACCAAATCTCCAGTTTACATAACCAACTCATAACCAAATTACACTTCGTGACCAAATTTTCCGCAGCCAAATCAAAACAAGGCGTCCCTCTACAGCGAAATCTTTTCTACAAGGCGACAATTTGGTTACGGACGCGTAGGCAACAAACCATTGTAAATTACATTGTTTTTGGCGCACGCTTTGGTTACACGCTCCTGTCTTCTAGGGGAACCCGGAACATGGAACTGGGAACCGGCCACTGGGAGCAGGGAGCCTGGAGCCGGGAACCGGGAACCGGGAACAAGGATCATTTGGGAACTGGGAACCGGGAACCAGTGGGACCCTGGAATTGGAACCACGAATTGAGACCCGGGAACGGGAACCGGGAATTGGCGGGAATTGGCGGGAATTGGCGGGAAATTGGGAACCGGGAACTGGGATTTGGGAACCGGGAGCCTGGAGCCGGGAATCCGGAGCCGGGAGCCTGGAGCCGGGAGCCAGGATGTGGGACCCGGAAATTTTGAACCGGGAGCCCGGAGCTGGGAGCGAAAGCCTGGAGCCAGGATCCGGGATTGGCACCCGGGATTTGGGAACCGGCAACCGAGAATTGGGACCCGGGAGCGGGGAGCCGTGAATCCGTTGACTAAAAGAAGACCTTACTTCTTCCTCTTCTTCCTCTCGTTCTCCCTCCTGTTCTCTCCCTCCTCTCCGCTCCTTCCTCTCCCTGCTTTCCTCCTCCCTCCTGTCCTTTTCCTCCTCTCTGTCCACATGCCCGCTCCCTCCTCTCTCCGCCCTCATGAGGATCGAAGAAGAAGCATCGGCTACACGTAAGAGTGGCCCTTCGACCTCTGGTGTGGGCCCATTGGGGCCCCCCGATCGCTGAGTGCGATGCCATAGCAGCGGCCTGCGCGCTTGGGTATGGCCCCCTCGCGCCCCCCAGAAGCCGCGCAGCAAAGGTCACTCCTGCCTGGGGCCACTCCTGCGTGCAGCCGAAGCAAAACAAATTCTCCCTCCTGCCCTCGTGCCCCTCCTGGCCTCTCCCTCCTGACCTCTCCCTCCTCTCCCTCCTCCTCCTCTCCCTCCTTCGCCCCCCCCTTCCCGCCCCCCCGACCCCTCCCTCCTTCGCCTCGGCGTGCCCCGTCCACGCGCCCTCTCCCTCCACGCGTCCCCTCCATGGGCGCCCCGCAGGCCTGCCCGTTCTGCCACCTGTGCGAGGAGGGCGAGAAGCAGCGCCGGCAGAAGGACTCCCTCCCCCCCTCCCCGGCCTCCGCCGCCTCTGCAGGCGCGCGGGCAGGGCTCGCTCCGAGGTTCGAGTCCCGAGGCTTGCGGGCTCGAGGTTCGAGGCTTTCGGACGTCTTCGTGGGTGCCAGCAAAGGCGCCTCGCCGACGGCGTTACAGGGGGTGTCCTGATCGTTCCGAACGGCTGCCGGAGACCCGAGTTATGACCCAAGAACCAGATTCGGCGGTGTACCCCTCTTCCAGGGCTCATTTCGGTTCCTCCGATCCGATTCGACTCGACTTCAGTGGCTTCCGATTCCGATTCGTCCTCGGATTCCGATCTAGGTTCAGATCTCTCAGCGGAGGCTTTACTAGCCTTTCGATTTCCGCCGATTCGACTTCTCTGGACTTGGCTGCCGATTTTCGCCGTTCCGATTCGATTTTGGGCTCTATTGTGGGGAGGGCGGTGAGGACCGAAAAACAACAAAGTACATTACCACTAATTCTCGCAGCTCCGCGCGGATTTCTTGGATCGGCGCTGCCCCCCCCCCCCGGCGGCGCCTCTGGCGCCACCCCTAGCACAGTCCGCGCGCCAGGAAGGGGGGCTCAGCGCGGATCAAAGAAGTCTGCGCGGAGCTCCGCAATTTTTCTTCTTATGCCGGTTTTGCTTCTCCAGAGGTGGTGGCCTCGCGCCCCCCGAAGGAGTGACGGGCCCAGGCACCGAACCCCGTACGGCGTGTGGGGTTCGGCGTGGACGGCACGCATTCTTGATGCAGCGTGTTGTTGATGGTATTGCCGTACTTGCCATGCGTTCCCCATTCTTTCAAGAATTGTCGGCGTTGCCCTAACAAACTAATACTATGTGTGCGTCGCCCCCCCAGGGATGACGCGCGCGCCGAGAAATCTTACAGTGTGAGTTCCGTGGCGGGCTATTTCTGGCCATACCGCTCGGGAAACGATGTACTACAAGGTGGTTGTACTGTATGGTCGGGTCGGACGCACGCCTCCAAGGAAAATACATAGTATGTCTTTGTGCGTCCAAAATTGTTACCCTTGTCGTTGAGGAGTTGATTGCGGCGGGACATGTAAACATGGCAGTTGCAGTCAGCACCGGACTCGGTTTTGGACGTCGTTGGCGGATGATTGGAAGCGGCTTCCTCCGGCGTGCATCGTTGGTTCTGGGGGCTTATTTTTCTTCTAACTAAAGGATACGGATTCCATCCCTGAACACACTGGCGGATGACGGAAGACTTGCCGTTTCACTCGAGACATCTTCAAAATCGGCCCCCGAGGGGACTCCGAATCGACATCGTCTTGGAATCGCTCCCAGAGGGCTTTCGAACGGCCCAAAGCAGGCCCAAAAGACACCTTGGAGGGCCCCAAGAGCGCCCCAAGAGGGCCCCAAGAGACCCCCAAGAGCGCTCCAGAAGGCACCCAGACAGCTCAGAAGAGCCCCAAGACGGGCCAAGAGGGTCCCAAGAGACTCCCGAGAGCGCCCCATGAGGACTCCAGACGGCCCAAGAAAGCACCAAGACGGCCCCAGATGGCGCCGAGACGGCCCAAGAAAGCTCGTAAAGAACCCCACAACTCGCCCAGACAGCCCAAGAAGACCCCAGAAGCCCACAAGAGGACCCAAGAGGCCCCCAAGAAGCCCCTAACAGGCCCCAAGACGACCCTGCGCGGCGCCAGGAGCCCCCAGGGTGGCCCGATGGGGTCACCGGGACCCTCTCCTGATTCAACGTCCTTCTCCAGCTGCCTCTTACTGTCCTCCGCCGTCGTCGTCGTCGTCGTCGTCGTCGTCGTCGTCGTCTTCGTCCTCCGCATTCCTCCTCGTGCTCGCCCTCGTTCTCTTCGTCCTCCTCCTTGTGTTTCTCTTCCTCCTCATTGTCCTCATGCTCCTCCTCGCTATCCTCACGTTCTCCACGTCATCCTCGCCATCGCCTCCTCGTCGCCCTCGCCTTCCTTTTCTTCTTCTGTTTCGCCCAATAAGCTCATTGTACTAACGCGGCGCTTCCCGTTCTTGTCCGATCAGGTTTTCTGTTCCGTTCTCAACCTTGTTCAATAATAATCTTCAGTCCAGAGAACCCTTTGTGCACGCGCGCATCGTTAGCTTTGGTGCTGCAGCCCGTCCCAGTGCAGCATCCCTACTGATGGGGGATCATTCGGGTACCCTGGGAAATCCTGACGCATCCTCGCTCGTTTCGCTGTCGGCGGGTACATTCTCGCGATTTGTCGCGGATTGTGGGTTTTGCAGGGTTTTTGTGGCATCGTTGGTCGCGCTTTCGCATTGGCATTTGAATCGTGTGTTTATATGCTTGTGCTTGCGCCTGCACCTGCACGTACACTTCCGCTTATGTTTGTTACAATTGGGGTTGCATTCATAGTTTCATTCCTCTGTGCATGTGCATGCATGTCTGCCTGTCTTTGCCCTTGTGCTTGCAGGTGAACTTGATTTTTTATGTGTATGCGCGATTGTGATTGTGGTTGTGAACGGGATTTCGCGTAGGGCGGTACGTGTAAGACAGCGGAATTTTTTTCTTTCGGAAAATCCGATACTCCATGGCGATGGAGGTGTCACGGATATTAACAGTTGACAGAAGCGACCGAACGTGTTTTACATTGTTCTTAGGTGCGGGCCTGGAGGAGGTTCCCGCGGTGCGGATTGAATTTCCGTTTCTGAGCAACATGTATATTTGATCATTTTTTGCGGAGCCCATTAATTTATTAATTGACGTGCCCTTTCGGTTCTCGCACTTCGTTTGTTTATCAGGGTAAGTATACCGCGTTCGGCGGCAGATCTAAAACTTGTGACACGAGCGCAGCTGCAGTCGATGCAAGGGTGCGCTGGGCATTTTCTGGTTTCCGTAGTTTGGCGGTGTTTCTGCAATGATGCGGCTTTCGCTTGGTACCTATGCATATTTTCCAACGTGTTTTGGCGGGCGGGCCCCTTGCATCCGTAGGTTTTTGACGGTCTTGGCAGTCTTTTCGTCTTGGTGCGTCCTAGGTGCCTTGCACCCTTGTGCTGTACTCATTCATTCTGTCGGATTTGGATATTGAGTGGAGAGGAGCTTCACCAGATACTAGGGGGGCCAGTATAAGTGTCCCTCCATTTTCTGGCACATCAGTGGGGCCGCAGTGCGGCCCCACTTGCATCGCAGAATGGCGCAGTTTCCACAGAGGACATGGCACGCGCATGTTGCGGTGTCCTTCGTGCTGGCGAGTTGTCCCTGCGTGTAAGCATCGCCGTCCGCACCGCAGTATGGAACATGCCATAATTCATGTCATGATTTTCGGGCTTCACACCGCTTGTCGCCGTGTCCAACATTTTTTTGCGCTGCGTGCAGGATCGGGCCGAGAAGAACAAGAAGCCGCTCCGGAAACAGCGCAGGGAGATCAGGAGAGAGAGTCAAGAGAAGGCCACCTCAGCATGTTTACAGTTCGGCCGTCGCGAGACAGGATTGGAAGGTTCGTTTTTAGTTATCTGATGAATTGCATATTGTAGGTGTTGTTTGTAAGTTGTTCCCTTGTCCACCAACCCGTTGGCAGACTGACTGACTGATTGATTGATTGATTGATGCTTTTCCCAATCCTCCTTAGGTTGGGTACTCTCGCCTCTATGCCTTGAGCGGCTCTCATGGCGGGCACCTGGGCCGCCTCGTGGCTGTTTTTGGCTTCTATGGGGCCCTCTTGGGCCGCCTTGGGGCCTTCTTGCGCCGTCTTGCTGCCGTCCTGGGCCCCTCTCGGCCGTAAGATGGGTCTCTTAGCGGTGTCCTGGAGGCCTCTTGGAGCCCTGCTGGAGCTGCCCAGGGCCGCCAGAGGGGGCTTCTGGGGGCCCTCGTTGGGCTCGTTGGGCCACGGCCTGGCTCCTCCGAGGCCCGCTCTGGCACCATCCTGAGCCGAGAGCCTCGGGACATGCCAAGGATGAGGCATGGCGATGGGTTTCTTGTAGTGCTTGGAGGTGGTGTTGGGCTTCCCCATGGCCTCCTCCCAGCATTCTCTTTTCGCTCTGATGCTTTGGAAGCGTGTTTGGGCCTCTTGAGCGCGTCTTGGGGTCTTTTCCAGCGCTTCTGGGTAAGACAAAATTGCTCGGCGGCGAGCCCAGGGGGGAAAGTGAGGGGGGGCGGACTTTTCTCAGAAGGCTCGGAGGTCATCCGGCCTTCTGAGAAGTGTGCTAAGCCTCCCCCGAAGACACGGCAAATTTCTCTTCAGAAGGTCGCAGGGCCGGAGGGCTTCTGAGAAGCCCCGCCGCCTTCTGAGAAGGCCGCCTCTCTCTCGCCGCTTCCCCCTCTCGCTCGCCGCCGAAATGTGCCACCCTCGTAGCCTTCCTGGCCGTCCTGGAGGCCCTGGGAAGGCTCAGAGCCTGAGCTGACACAGCCCCCAGAGGGAGCGTTGGCGCCCTGGATCAGAGGTGGTGGGGCGCATGCAGCTGAGCGTGGTGAGAGGGGTCGTGGGCGAAACAACGGGTCGTCGTCGTCGTCGTCGTCGTCGTCGTCGTCGTCGTCGTCGTCGTCGTCGGGGGGGTCCACCGGGCCTCGTCAAGCAAGACTGTGGGAGGGGTCTCGATGCTGGCCCCGTCATTGCACCACTCTCTGGGGGGGGGGCTCCTGGACGCGCTGCCAAACACTTTGTTTGACCCTCCCACGCTATTGTCGGGGGTTCGTGGAGGGCGGGGAATTATCCCAAGGTGGGGTAAGGGAACGAGTCCATGTGGATGCCCACACTTTGTTCTTAGAGCGGACGTTTAGAGCGATTTCTCTCAAACCCCACCTCTGCCCCTATTTAGCCCACCTTCTCGTGCCCCTGGCTATTGTAAAATTTGGGGTAAATTTTCGGAGCTTTGCGTGGATCCCCAGACTGCTCCAAGTCTTCGCCACCCGCCCGGCTCGCCTTTTGTCCTTCTGGGCGCTTTCGGCGGCTTCTTCGTCCAAGCTCCTCGGCTTTTCTGTTTGATTATTTTTGCGCCGTGCCCAGCTTGTGCTGGTTCTGCCTCTAGCGGAGCAAAAACTTCATGGGGCTCCGCGCGGACTTCTTGGATCGGCGTTGGACCACCTTCCCTGGCGCGCGCCGCCAGGGGGGCCCAGCGCCGATCCAAGAAATTCGCGCGGAGCGTCGAAACTCTAGATTTGTGCAGTTTTCGGTGCCAGAACTCTGAGAATTTGTCGGGGTGGTTGGATCGCCAGGATGCTGAACATGGCAGACAAATGCACGCGGTGCCAGTGGAGGCTTCTTTGAGAATGCGAAAGCTTCGCAAGGGCTCCTTTCAGATTGCGTCCAACCTCTCTTCAAGCATCTCTGCTATCCAGCTGCCTGCGGCATTTCTCTCCACCGTGCCAGCGCAACACTATGTGGAGCGACGCTTCGAGCACCGCCCAGAAGGCCGTTACCTCGGAGAACCCCGAGGGGGTGGGTTCTTCAGAGTGTTTATAGGAATTATGCACGGCCGCACATGGCGTTATACCACGCCTCAACGCGCCAGGGGGCACGGTGGCGGATTACCAGCAGGGATCACCCCTCTCACTTGAGTGAGAGTGGGGAGGTTCCGTCTGCCCGCAACCGGGCTTCAGACTCAGCAGAGCAGCAGTCACATACGCCGACAACCGCAGGTATTGCGAGTTCGAGGAAGCTTGGGCAAGCATATTCTAGTGGCCTCCTGCCAGTGCCGCCGATCCTCGGTGCTACCGATTCCGCTTGCAACGGAGGACCCTTTATGCTTAAAATAAGAACACAACACTCGCTCGAGACATCTTCATAAGATAGAGATGTTGAACTCGCTTGGGCAACCGTCGGATATTCGAAAGTGACGATCTCGCGTGAACAGCCAAACTCATGGGATGTCCCCTCTCGCCTTCCGGGCCTGAGTGGCGTCAGCCATGGCGTCAGCCCCCGCCCCCACCCGATTTCTCCCTCCCGGGCCTGAATGGCGTCAGCCATGGCGTCAGGGATCCTTCCCCCCCTTCCAGATTCCTCTCCCAGGCCTGAATGGCGTCAGCCATGACGTCAGCTCCACCCCCCCTCCCCCCCCGACTTCCTCCTCCCGGGCCTGAATGGCGTCAGCCATGGCGTTCCCCCGGGGCCCCCCCCCCTCTCCAGCCCATGGCGTTCCCCCCTTCCCCCCCCCCCCTCCTCCCTCCCGGGCATGAATGGCGTCAGCCCTTCCCCACCCCTTTCCTCCTTTCCGGGCCTGAATGAATGGCGTCAGCCCCCCCCCCCCCCGACAGAGCGAAGCCCCCGCCCCTCCTCCCTCCCGGGCCTGAATGGCGTCAGCCCTTCCCCCCCCTCTTTCCCGGGCCTGAATGGCGTCAGCCCCCACCCCCCCACACCAGAGCGACCCCCCCACCCTTTTCCCTCCCGGGGCTGGATGGCGTCAGCCCCCCTTCCCCCCCTCCCTCCCGGGCCTGAATGGCGTCAGCCCCCCCCCGCCCCCCCGACAGAGCGAAGCCCCCCTCCCACTCTCCTCCCTCCTGGGCCTGAATGGCGTCAGCCCCCCCCCCGCCCCCCCCTCCCCCCTCCCATGCCTGGATGGCGTCAGCCCCCCCCCCCCCCCTCCTCCCTCCTCCCCATGGCGTTCCCATCCCCCCTCCTTCCTCCCGGGCCTGAATGGCGTCAGCCCTCCCCCCCAAGCTCCCTCCTGGGCCTGAATGGCGTCAGCCCCTCCCCCCCCCCCACACTCCTCTTTCCTGGGCGTGAATGGCGTCAGCCCCCTCCCCCCTGCTCCCTCATGGGCCTGAATGGCGAGAAGAGAGGCTCTGTCGGAAAAAAGGAAGGAGATTTGTCGGAGAGGTGAGGGCTGTCCTGGAGAGGGCGGGATCTGTCTGTAGGAGCGGGGGGTGTGGGGGGGCGGGGGGGGTGTCTGTGAGAGCGGGGTGGGTGGGTGGTCTGTTTGTCTGTCCTGGGGGGGTGTCTGTGAGAGCGGGGGGGGGGTCTGTAGGAGAGAAAGCGGAAGGGTGGAAAGGAATATGTCGGAAAAGGAGGGGGGTCTGTCTTGGAGGGGGGGGAGGTCTGTAGGAGAGAAAGCGGACGAGCGGCAAGGGATCTGTCGGAAGGGGGGTCTTTTGGAGGGGGGCGTCAGAGAAGAAGATTATTACAGATTTTTCGCGGAGACAGGGAAATGTGTGTGTGTGTGTCTGTGCGTGTGTGTGTACGCGTGTGTGTGTGTTGTGTGGGTGTGTGTTTGTGTGTGTGGTGTGTGGTGTGTGGTGTGTTGTTGTGTGTTGTGTGCTCTGTGTTAGGTGTTATGTGTTATGTGTTGTGTGTTGTGTGTGTTGTGTGTGTTGTGTGTGTTGTGTGTTGTGTGTTGTGTGTTGTGTGTGCGTTGTGTGTGTGTGTGGGTGTGTGGGTGTGTGTTGTGTGTTGTGTGTTGTGTGTTGTGTGCTGTGTGTGTGTTGTATGTGTTGTGTGTGTGTTGTATGTGTTGTGTGTGTTGTGTGTTGTGTGTGCGTGTGTGTTGTGTGTGTTCTGTGTGTTATGTGTGTTCTGTGTGTTATGTGTGTTGTGTGTTGTGTGTTCTGTGTGTTCTGTGTGTTCTGTGTTGTGTGTGTTGTGTGTGTGTTGTGTGTGGTGTGTGTTGTGTTTGTTGTGTGTGCGTTGTGTGTTGTGTGTGTTGTGTGTGTGTGTGTCGTGTGAATGGTGTGTGTGTGCGTGCGTGTGCGTGTGCGTGTGCGTGTGCGTGTGCGTGTGCGTGTGCGTGTGCGTGTGCGTGTGCGTGTGCGTGTGCGTGTGCGCGTGTGCGTGTGCGTGTGCGTGTGCGTGTGCGTGTGCGTGTGCGTGTGCGTGAGAGAGTGTGTGTGTGTGTGCGTGTGCGTGTGCGCGCGCGCGCGCGTGTGTGTGTGTGTGTGTGTGTGTGTGTGTGTGTGTGTGTGTGGGGGGGGGGGGGGGAGGCGGGGGGGGGCTTGTGTGTTCAGTGATGCGGCTCGGTGATGCTGTGCACACTCTGTTTCAGCGCCAGCGTGAGGTGGGTTGTTGCTGCTGCTGCTGTCATGGCCCAGGCCACCTCCGTCGGAGGAGTCGCTCCGTGGCTGCAGAGGGTCCCGTCCTGGGCACATCGCCCCGCGCACTGGGGTGCCGCCGCTGTTTCGTGGGGTCCCTCCCGTTGGGCCCCGAGCGGTAGTGTCATGGCTTTGCTTGTCCTGAGGCTTGCGTTTCGAAAGCCAGGCCTGTCAGGGGTCCACGAGCCAGTACCATTCTGAGTTCCTGGTTTTGTCAGCCTGTATGGCCTCTGAGAGGCCTGACAATGGTCCAAGATGCCTCCCAAGAAAGAAGTCTCCCATGCGATCAGACCCCGAGACCCACCCCCGACCCCGAGGCCTCCCAAAGCGATCCGAGGGCCCCTGGGGTCCCGCCGAAATTTTCTCTCCGTGGGCTCATGAACATGCGTTCGAGCTCCACCGGATGCTCGCGTACATCCTTCGCGAAGGTCTCGCCAATTGCAGCCTTCACTAACAATCTGTCTCGCCACTCGCTCTCGCTCGAGTACCTCGCGAGGATAGTGATCCATCCCCTTCGGGCAGGACCGTATGGGCTGAGCCCTCCGCAATTACGACTGGACCCTATTACGCAGGGCACTGGGCCAAGAGTTTTCCGGCAATCAGGGCTGGACTCCAACGCGCAGGACAAGTAGCCGCGCTTTTTTAGGACATTGCGCAATGGGGGGCGATAGATTGGGGGGTGAGCAAAGGCGCACTTTTCGCGCCCTAAAGTTGCCCTAAAGCCTAAAGGGGCCCCCTTAGGCCAAAGGGGGGTACGAAAGTTGCACGTTTCTGCTGCCCACCATTCCCAGACCCCCGACGCCAGAATTCTTTCATGACGTCGACCCCCAGAGGTCTCGACCCACTCCCTGGGACAGGTTTTCATTTTGAGTCGTTTTTTGACGATCGCGAGGCCCGGCGAGGGCGCCCAGAGGCCGAATATCGCCCCCCCCCTCCCCTTAAGCAATCTGCCGCTTCCCTCCTCCGCACCTCCCCTGCCTCTTTTGCCCTTCGTCCTCGCTCCCATTCCACACGAAGTCGGGCCGGGGGATGGGTCAAGATGCCAGGGGATCTGAGCCAGAATGGTACGATTTGAGTGCGTTTGGGATTTGAGGCCATTTGGTCGCACTTTTTCGGCTGACGCAAATGTCAATCGAAACTGATTGACGCCCCAATTTGCTGTCGGGTCGGAATGTCAAGCGTGAGGTTGTTTGGAAGATCGGTGCGCGTGTCACCTGGGCACGAAACAATCACCGACCGAGGATGATCGCGTATTATGTTGCCATTTGCGTTGTTATGTTGTCCCGTTCGCCAGTCGGACTTCTCCGCCTGTAGTTCTGCATTCGTCTCGCACTACCAGATATCATGATATTTGCCGACGTCCATGCTCAATCGGGCGCCATTTGTCTTGTCTCATCGAGCTTCGACTTATGCACCGAATCCGTCGAGGCCCTCTCGGACGCAGAGGGTCCCGAACCTGCAGGAGTGTGGCGCTCCCGCCGGGTATCAGCCCGTAGAGGGCAGAACAGAGAGAGAGAGAGAGACTAGGCAGTGAGGTAAGGCGAGGGAGGTCAGGGCAACGATTGGGGTGGAGCTTTTCGGGTTCGGGCCGCGGGGGGGAGCGTTTCGGGTTCGAGCTTTTCAGCAGTTGTTGTCGGAGATCAGCGGTTTTCCAGCCCCGGGATGCTCTCCAGCGGCTGCGCCTCGCCGAGAGCGTTCTGGGGGTGCCCGGATCTTCCCGAAAGGCCGCCAAAGAGCTGAGTTATGAGCCGAAAGCCACCAGGGACGGGGATAAGCATAGGAGGGGCTGCATCGACCCCCAATCGCCCACTCATGGCCGATAGGGGCCCGATAGTCCAACCTGCCCAGGAACGTGCGAATCCACCTTCGGAGGCTTATCGCCGATCTATCGACGATGTATCGCCCATTCCAGGTCGATGGTTCGCCCCCAATGCCTATCCCCCCATCGTTGCCCCTCAGGAGGTGGTATGGGACAGGACGGGGGGATGAGGGAGGGGTAAGGCAGGGGGTGTGGACCTGTTCGCATTACGAACTCGCGTGCGCTGCAGGACGCGATGTTCGCACGCGCCACGGTGGTATGCCCCTTCTTCTCGGATGGGTGTTGAAGCGAGCGGCAGTGGCCCAGTCGTGCAACAGCGCTTGTCATAGATGGGGCTAGCGTTCGTGCGCGTGGATATTGGCCACGTGCCGCCAGAACGAAATTCATAGGCATCAGGCGATAGTTTCGAACATGGACGGCATCGTTCCCAGAGAGAGAGAGAGGTGAGAGAGACGACCCATGGCGTTAATTAAAGTGTTCGACGATTCGTCAATCACGGTTGCACGCGCGTGTTGAGCAGTACGTTGTGGTCTGTTGTCCGCGTTATCGAGAGACCGCATGCGTGTTCGGACCTCGATGCGCTTTGGGGAATCTCGAGGTGAGACACAAGGTTTTCCCGTGCCTTTTGCTTAGAACGTTCCGCCATGCCTCGGATGTGTTTGATTGTGTAGCGAGAGCGCATGTGAGCGATTCCACCCAGTGTCATGGCGACCTCAGTGCAACACGGTTGGACGAACGTCTTGTTTGCAAGTGCAGGCGCATTAGCCCTTGGACACATTCGGTACACGGTTTGCATCGCACCACACGCACGCGTTGGCAGTACAGTGGGCCGATGTCATAGATGTGGGCATGCACATATTGTCAATAACATGCCCATTCGTTTTGATAAAATAGAATTGGCATTATGGATGTTGGCAAGTGTGTATTGTGACGTGTTGTTAAGCTTATGTTTGTTATTATGTGCTTACGTTCGCTCTCGCCTTCCCCAGGAGTGAATTGTTAATGGAGCCAAACGTGATGCTCGCCGGCAACTGCGTAGACAGTAATGGGAGATTCGGCGGACCTTGGAAAGGGTGGGGACACGAGAGAGGCACATAATTCAACAGAACGGTCGGAATACCAGCAATACAGATACGAAGGGCTAGCTGGGGGAGCGCGAGGGTGTTCAGTTGGGGTATCGCAAGCAGCGAGAGAGGAGGCGGACATCGGCGACGACAGCGGCGACGACGACGACGACGGCGACGACGACGGCGACGGCGACGGCGGCGGCGGCGAGGGCGACGACGGCGACGCGAGAAGCGGGAGGCCCAGAAGGCGCCGTTCGGTCGCTCCTTTTCTTTCCCTCTTGCCTTTTGGTTTTGCTGTTGGCCCATCAAGCTCCCTGGGGTCTCGGAGGGGTCCCGGGCTCCCTGTGGGCGGTCACAGGCTCGCGCGGGGGCGCGCTCGCGGGCCGCGCACAGAGCCAGGCTGCGCGGCCCGCCGCCACGCGCGACGGAGGTGCGGCCGTCAAGAGCGGCAGCGGGGGGGTCGCGCGCCCGCGCGCGGGCTTCCCCTCCCCGCAGCGCCGGATGTCGCGGCGGCGCTGCGGGGAGGCCGCTATTCTCTTTGCCTGTGCGCGGCCGCTGTGCGCTCGGCTGGTGCCTTCCGCCCGCCCCCCCCCCCCGGCGCTCGACCGTCCGTGGCCCTCGGTGCTTCGTCTCGCGTCGGGCCCTCGGTTTCGTCGTCCGCGGGTCGGGCCCGTCTTTCGCGTGGTCTCGGCCCCGCGTTGGGCCTCGCTTCGCGTCGGGCCTGCGGCTTCGCTCTGGCGTGTCTGCTGGCTCCGTGTCCCGCGTCGCCGCGGCGTTGGGCCCGTCGCTTCGGCTCGGCGTGCTTCGGCTCCGTCGTTCGTGGGCTTGCTCTGCGTCTCGGGCTCGTTGCTGTCGTTGGCTCGGCGGCTGTCGGTGGCTTGGGTTTGCGTTCCTCTCGCTCTGCGTGGCTTGCCCTGCGCTTCGTGGCCTCGCTCGGGGTTCGCGGTCTGTCTGGCTTCGGGGCTCCGCCGCCGCCGCCGCTGCTGGCCGTCGCTGCTCGCCGCCGCCTTGGTGCTGTTTGCGGGCCGGGGGTGGCCCTCTGGCGGGAGCGGTCCGTCGCGGCCGTGCCTCCCTAGGCCTGCGTTGGCCGACCAGGCTTGAGGTTGCCTTATGTGGGCTTGGAGTTGTCCAAGAAGTCGGAGGCCGGAAGTGGCGTGTCCGACCGTGGCCTACGTTGGCCTGTCCAGGCTGCTGAAGTGGCCTTCCCTGGGGCTTGGAGTTGCCCATGCAGCGTGTGCCTGATGTGGCCAGTGCTGACGTCGGCCTGCGTTGGCCTTGTTGGTTTGGTGGAGTCTTCTCGAGATTCGAGAGCTCGTGTTTGCATTTTCGGTTGGTCGCCCGACGCAGCCGTGCCAACTTTGTGGTGGCTTTCTGCAAGGCTTGTAGTTGCCCCGCCCAGCAGGCGGCCTGAAGTGGCCCATTCTGCCCTCGGCCCGCGATGGCCTGGATGGCTTGGAGTGGCCTCTCTGCGGGCATGTGGTGGCCTGCGCGCGGCCTGAAGTGGCCAATGGGCTGGTTTTCGCTCCGTGCCTCGTGCAGCTAGAGTGCGCGTCTCGCCCGGTGCAGTGTTAGTGGTTGGCTGCGAGGCCTGGTCATGGCGTCTTTGCGTGATCACCTCGCGGCGGTCGAGGGAGCCGCCGAGCACCCTGGCGAGTGGCTCGACGGGATCGTGGCCGCCCTGGCCGCGCAGGGCGCGCACGCGGCCAGCGACCTGGACGGGGCGACCGGCCACGTTCACGGGGGCGGCCAAGCGCCTGGTGCGCCAGGCCATCGAGAAGGCTACTGCGGCGGCCACTCTGACCCCCAGGCTCCCGCGGGGCTGGGCGCGGCGCCGTTTAGCGACGGCGAGGCGGCGGTCACTGCGGCCGCCGCGGCCTCGGCGGCCCTCCTGCAGCTGGAGGACAAAAAAAAGAGGAGGCGCTAGTCACCGGTCTGATCATTTGCTGGCTCGCGCCGCCGCGTGCGCGCAGGTAGCGCACATCGCCATCGCGCCCTTGTTGGCCGCGGCGCACCTCGGTCTCTCGCCGCAAAAAGTTCTGGCCGAGGCGGGCGACGCGCGGCTCGCCGCGCCAGCGCGCGCCGCAGCGGCGAGCCGCGCGCAGCTCTGAAGCGACGGACGTGCTCATGAGCGAGGTTTCTAGGTTGCACAAGCGCGGAATCGTGCACGCTGACGTTTTCTTTAACCTCCGCAAGTGACTACCGTCGTGGGCCAAGCAGGCTGACCGGTGCGACGGCGACGAACAGCCTGCCCCGGTCTCGCGCGAGATCAGGGGCGCGCCCGGTCGCGGGCGGGTTGCGCAAGAGGTCGTGGGGGCGGCAGAGACAGGCAAGCGCGCATTGCTGCTGCCGATGGGCCTGTGGCATTTGGCGTGGAGCAGGCGCGCGCTGTTTCTGCCATTTCTTTTCCGCCCAGCGCTGCGCGAATTGTTCGCAGATGCGCCTTCGCTGCGGTCGAGACAAAGCAGTTGACCCTCGCCGAATGTACTGCACACAGGGGCGACTGCATGAACGTAGCAGTGCAGGCCGCGGCGTTCGCGGCAGGGCGTTTCGCATTACCCTGCGGTCTCGCAGGCGATCGCCAGGAAACGTCGGGCGCAGCTCGGGGCCGAGCGCGCCCGCGCGGCGGACCCAGATCTCGTGCTGCAGCGCGCGATCATGCGCGTCGATAAGCGGGTGCTTGGCTTGGCAGAAGAGGCTCACGACCGCGACGAGCGCTCGAGGGGGCAAGTTCTCCAAGCGAGCGCGAGCGCGGGGGTGGCGCGTGCTTCTTTGCATCACGGGCGCATAGTTCCGGCCAGGCTGGCAGGACCGAGAGGGCGACAAAGCCCAGGCCCGCATGACGCGTCGGCGCACGCGGGTGCACCAGCCCCCCCCCCCCCTTGTTCTTTCGCGCAGCGCGATCGCAGGAGGCGGCGGGCAAGGCCGCCCGGGAAAGAGCCAATGGCAGTCTGGCCCCGGCTCCGCGAACGGAGGCAGGAGTGCGCAGTGGGCGGGGAAGCGCTGGGGCACAGCGGGCGACTAGCGCATACTACGTATCGCGGAAGCAGGTGGGGCACAGCGGATCGCGGTTGGGAAGAGAGCCAGGGGCCGCGCACGCCCCCGAGGCACGCAAAGATTGCCCGCCCATAGCGCCTCAGCTTCTGGGTGCACAGAGTGCAGCGGGCGCGCGAAGCACGTGGTCGCGCGTGGGTTCGGGCGCTGTCATGAGTGACAGCGCGAGAGCTTGTGCGTGCGAATTTGGCCGAACATTGATCGGCGCGTTTGTCTTCTCACAAGTCGTTGCTGCGGTGCCGTGCGTGATTGTGGCCGCGCGGGGCCAGCGCGGCGCGCGGGGGTTCGCGCGACGTTTCGGCCGAAGAGTCATCGGCGTGTCTCCATGTTTGGGCCTCGTCATGTTTCGTCGCTGCAAGGCCGTCCACGTATCTAACGTCCGGTGATGCGCAGCTGCGCGGGCAGAGAGCGCGCGTTCGTCAGGTGACATGCGCGCCCTCCCTGCAATTCCATCGTCGCCTGGCGGCAGTGCGCGGCAGCGCTGCCCTGTGCCCACAGCGGCCCCGTCTGTGTTGCCCGGCTGTCTTCTTCCCGCCCGCCACCCTCTTCTCGGGGAGTCTTGCACCTATGCCCTAACCCCTGTTGATTCGGCGCCTTCGGCGCCACTTCTCCTCTCGGGTCTGGGTCTCCTCGTCGGTGGTTTGGTGCTTTTGTGGTCCTCGGTCTCTCCTCCCTCCTTGTCCTCTGCTCGCACGAATCGCCTGGCCTGCTTGCTATCGTTTCGGGGGTTTCGCCCGGACCGACCGCCACACAGAAAACAAGTCCTGGTGGCGTGGAGTAGTGCACGAGATGATGATGAGGAGGACGAGGAGGAGGGCGAGCAGAAAGGCCAGGGGCCTCTTGGATGCCTTTCGGAGCCTCTTCGGATGTTTCTTAAGAGCTTCTTGGGGGCCTCTTAGCGGCCACGGGGGCCTCTTGGAGCGTCTTGGCCGCCTCTCGGGGGTCTCTTGGGACCTCGTGAGCACATCTTGGGGCACTCTTGAGAGCCTCGGGGACCACTATGGGGCTACCTGCCATCTTGGAGGAGATCGATCAAAGGAAGGGGGGGTAAGTTAGAGCCCCCCACGCCGAGGAGGCCAACACGGGGCCAACACCTTCGTAATTTCAGTGATTTGTACCTTCTCGCCGAGGCCGTTTTGGACGCTCCAATGGGTCGCGACCCCTCCTCTCCAGGTCCACGGGGGGGGGGAGGGGTAGGAGTAAACGCTTCCCCGAAGGGGAAGAACGGAGTTTGAAAAGGAAGCGCTCGAAACCGAAGCCACTCACGCCCTAAAGGGCTGGTGGGACTTGCTCAGCTGTCCTCTTCCCTCGCGTCTTCCTCCTCGCTTCTCTATTCTGTCCCCCACTTCGCTGGCTGGCCCGCGACAGGATCACGCAGTCTACGATCAATTGCATCAATAAGTTAGGTGTTCGATCATGGACCCTTGGTCGAAACACAAACCATTCAGCTTTGGCGCCGAAGACCGCTGGAAACCGCGAAGGACCGCCGAAGACCGTCCGATGACCGACAAAGGCGGCCCAGGAACGACGGGTAACAAGGGGTCCATGGCATGATCCAACAATTACGAGAGCAAGAAGGATGGGAAGAGGCGAGCGAGGAATCTTCACGTGTCACGTGAGCTGGAGGCATCACGCCATGCCCAACAGTCCTAGGTGGGGAGGGTCACGGGTCGTGCGGTCGGCGGTTCGCGCCGACGCGCGCGCCGCTTGCACCGCGACCCACGTTCCACTCGTCTAGGCCGCGCTGAACTTGTGCGGAAAAGAGCTTCCCCAGCTCACCTCGGAGAAGAGCAAGTTGCATGAACATAGATTGTCTGAGCTCCGCGCGGATTTCTTGGATCGGCGCTGGGTCACCTGGCGGCGCCTCCGGCGCCGCCCCTGACGC